ATTCCATCCAAGAGCCCTTTTAGTGACTATGTCCTGGAGTGTGGGTCCAATTGGAGACCTTCCTTTCAGTTTCCATGGGCCTTCCACAGGTGGGCGCCCCTTGGCCTACTCAACGTGCTTCTCACAGTTAGTGGTAGACATTGTTCATCTAATATCTGTCCTGAATGCAAGCCAATGACTTTGTCAGAAGAAGAAGCAACTATTCCAGAAGAAAAATAGGTCATCTCAGACTTGCCCATATATACTGTGTAGTCTTCATGTGACTCCTTCCTAAGGGAATGTCAAAGGCATTTTTATCTTTCTACCATGTTTGATTTTTTGTTCAGTTGCTTTCACAGGGAACAATGAACCGTAGCTTAAATAATACAGAAGGCTTAGTTCTCTTTCATGTAAACATCTGTGCTTGAGGGTGAGCCTGGTGTTCCTGTCCCACAAGTCATCCTGAGGCCAGGTTCCCCCTATCTCGTTGCTCTACCATTCCCTAAGTTCTCCTTATCCGCAGGGTGGGAAATGGCTCACCAGCACCTTATTCACAATCCAGCTTCAGGAAGGGACATAGAGGAAATAGAGGGCAAGAAACATGTTTTTAAGATGTTCAACATCATTAACCATCAGGGAAATTCAAATCAAATCCACATGGAGATACCACCTTACACCAGTTCGAATGGCAAAAATTGACAAGGCAAGAAACAACAAATGTTGGCGAGGATGTGAAGAAAGGGGAACCCTCTTACACTCTTGGTGGGAATGCAAGCTGGTACAGCCACTCTGGAAAACAGTGTGGAGGTTCCTCAAAAAGTTAAAAATAGAGCTACCCTATGACCCAGCAATTGCACTCCTGGGTATTTACCCCAAAGACACAGATGTAGTGAAAAGAAGGGCCATATGCACCCCAATGTTCATAGCAGCAATGTCCGCAATAGCCAAACTGTGGAAGGAGCTGAGATGCCCTTCAACAGACAAATGTATAAAGAAGATGTGGTCCATATATACAATGGAATATTACTCAGCCATCAGAAAGGCTGAATACCCAACTTTCACATCAACATGGATGGGAGTGGAGGAGATCATGCTAAGTGAAATAAGTCAAGCAGAGAAAGACAACTGTCGTATGGTTCCACTTATTTGTGGAACATAAGGAATAGCATGGAGGACATTAGGAGAAGGAAGGGAAAAATGAAGTGGGAGAAGTCAGAGAGGGAGACGAACCATGACAGACTATGGACTCTGGGAATCAAATTGAGGGTTTTAGAGGGGATGGGGGTGGGGGGATGGGTGAGCCCGGTGATGGGTATTAAGGAGGGCACATATTGCATGGAGCACTGGGTGTTATGTGCAAACAATGAATCATTGAACACTACATCAGAAACTAATGATGACTAACATAACATAATAAAAAAAATTATAAAAAAAATAAGATGTAAAGTGGAAGTTGTACATGTCACTTCTGCTAATACCCCATTGGCTTATGCTTAGTCACATGGCCAGCTGACCTACAAAGGAGGCTGGGAATTGTCTCCAGCTGGGTTGCCATGCACTCACATAAAACTCTAGAAAGAAGCAAAGAACAGTTCCTGTTTTTTTTTTTTTAATTTTTTAAATTTATTTTTTTAGAACAGTTCCTAATTTCTAATCCTTCCTCCACATCCACTCTTTTGATGAGTGACCTTCTATCTTTTTATTCCATCCTATCATCATGCTTCCAATTCTTCTTTTGTTCCCAGACCATCTTTACTAGTCACTTTTATACACAATATCTCTAACATTCGAAACACCTCTGTGATGTGGTTGTAATTCCCTTCATTTTGCAGATAAGGAATATAAAATTCAGAAAGATTAGGCAATTTACCCAAAGTTAAGAGGGTGGGGAAAGGATCAATATTTTTACTCCAAAAGCACTCAGAGTTCTATTTTTGAATGATAGAAATTAGGCTGTATTTCTCTATGACTTTAAAAACCTTGGGACGCCTGGGTGGCTCAGTCATTAAGTGTCTGCCTTTGGCTCAGGTCATGATCCCAGGGTCCTGGGATCGAGCCCCACATCGGGCTCCCTGCTCGGCGGGAAGCTTGCTTCTCCCTCTCTCACTCCCCCTGCTTGTGTTTCTGCTCTCGCTATCTTTCTCTCTTTCAAATAAATAAAATCTTTAAAAAAACAAAAAAAGATTCTCTCTCCTCCCTCTGCCCCCACCCCTCTAAAAATAAATAAATAAATCTTAAAAAAAAAAAAACAAACCCTCACTTTGTTAAGACATTTTGTGGGGAGGTTTTAGGAGATGGTGGCTGTGCTACCAACATATCCTTGAGGATTGAAGAGTCCTCTTTTACTTGAGAATACCAAGCTCTTGATCAAATGCATAACCCTTGGGAGAGACATAAATTGTCCAAAAAGAGAAAAGGAGCATGTGATGAGCCAGTTAGATTAGACAAATCTTCAGAGATCACCTGGGTGTGGCAGACACACCCTAAAGTCATCACTAATGAATCACATCCTTGTATAATCCACTTCCCCGAGCGTGGAAGAAACTTGTGATGTATATTTAGCCAAAAGAATATAGCAAAGGTGATGGGATTCACTCCCATAATTACCTGAGATCTACTCAGCGAGATAGAAAACATCCAGGCACTGGTATATTCCCTGGATCCCTGGGTAGCCGGCTCCCTATAATCCTTTAGGTCTCAGCTCCAACGTCATCTCCTCAGAAGGATCCTCCACAACCCTCCTATCCAAAGCAGGTCACCTCCTGGTCACTCTCAATGCCCTCATTTTGTTTTATTATCTACTTGCATTTATCACCATCTGTAATTACCTAGATCATTCAGTTTGTTTGTTCTGTCTCAAATCCCCATCCCCCTCCTTCCAAATATAACCTCCATGAGAGTGGAGCTGTTTTCTTCAATGCTGTATCCCCTGTGTGTCAAATACTGTTTGGCACACGCTAGGTGTTCAATATGTATTTCTCTGAACAAACAAATGTGACGCAGAACAACAAAAAACGAAAGTCAGAGCTGCTGTGGTGTTAGTTGGATTTGGAGGGCTGGGACCTCTGAGCACTTAATGGTTTCTTATCCCCTTCTCCACACTTCCTTGTGCCACACCTGCATGGCCAATTTGGGCTCCACAAACCCAGTTCAGACAACCCTTCCCTAATCAGATTAATAAGTGCACTTGAGGGCGCCTGGGTGGCTCAGTTGGTTAGGCGACTGCCTTCGGCTCAGGTCGTGATCCTGGAGTCCCGGGATCGAGTCCCGCATCGGGCTCCCTGCTCGGCGGGGAGTCTGCTTCTCCCTCTGACCCTCCTCCCTCTCATGCTCTCTGTCTCTCATTCTCTCTCTCTCTCTCAAATAAATAAATAAAATCTTAAAAAATAATAATAATAAGTGCACTTGAATTCAGACCACCACTGACTGGAAGATAGTCTCTTATTTTACATTCCACTAAGAAAGAAAAAGACAATGCCAATCAAACCATGACACCTTGTCAATAAAACACATCTTGACTTCCCATGTTAAAGCTGCTGCTCAGCCTTCAGATCACAGCTCAAATATCACTTCCCGATCACCCCTGCTGGCCAACCTAGGTCATTTTCCTTCTATACTCTCAGAACTCCCCTTTCTTCAAAATAAGCATTGCAGTTTCAGTGAATTGTTTAGTTATTGGTTTACAGATCTATCCCCCACGCACTGGAATGAAAACTGAATGAAGGTAGAGATTACATGTGTTTGTTTCCTATTATCCAAGGGTGTGCTGGAAAGCCAGCTCTCTGAAAAAAAAAATATATATTGTAGCATTTGCCAGCTCCCCTCCTGTAAATAACCTCACCACAGCTGAGATCAAACTAGGAGCCCACAACCTAACCACCGATTTGCAGCATTTCTGAACATTTAAAGTGAACCCTTGTGAGATGTGCTAGCCTGCTCCAGCACACAGTTGACCCAGGACCGCGTATCACAAATCCCGCATCAGGCTCCATTCTCTCCTTCTCCCTCTGCCCCCACCTCTCTAAAAATAAATAGATAAATCTTAAAAGCAAACAAACAAAAACCCTTACTTTGTTAAGACATTTCGCGGGGAGGTTTTAGGAGACGGTTGCTGTGCTTAATAGAGACTCAATAAGTAATCGGTTAGTGAATGAATACACTGATGTTAAAGCACTTTGCGTGAACCTATAGCAAGTACTTCAGACTTAACACATCCGCGCGCAGCTCTCTATTCCTCCTCCATACCTGCACCTTCCCCAGTTTCCACCCCACTTAGCGGCACTCGGGGCAGAAACCCAGCAGGCATACTGATGTCGCTCTTTCCCCTACCTCCTCCCATTGCACTCCACACCCAACGTGTCCCTCAATGTGTGTCTAAACCCACGCAGTTCACACCACGCCCGTGGCCACCACCCTCACCCAGCACACCATCATCCCTGTCGGGACTACCGCAACGGTCTCCTTTCCGATCTCCCGGCCTGCACTCTTACCTTCCCAAACTCACCCTCCACCCAGAAGCCAAGGGTTCCCGTGAAAGTATAAATCAGGACGCGCCATCCCCCCGCTGCAGCCCTTCGGTGCCCTCTCACTGCCTCGGGCGGGCTCTCCAGCCTCGTCCCCTGCACCCTCGCCCGCATCTTTCATCACGAGCTATGCTGGCGTTACCTCAGTTCTTCAAACACGTCAATCTTCTCCCTGCCTCAGGGCCTTTGCACTCGCTCCTTCCCCAAACTGGAGCGTCGCTGCCGCTGCACCGGCTTGAGACGCGCTTCAAATGTCACCTCTTTGAAGATGAAGAGACCTTTCCAAGCCGCCTCTTTCGGCAGCATCGTCCTCTCCCCTCTTACTGCCTTCCGGCCCCTTATCATTTGTGGAGTATTACTTCTCGCTTCGGAGCCGGGGAGTTTCAGCTTTGCAGGGCTGGTTCCTACTCCTCAGACAAGCGGAGGTGATCCGAGGGAGGATGAAGCCCCGGCGCCACAGGGACGCCACAGGGACGTAACGCCCGCGCGCCGGTCTCTGGACCACACCTCCCAGAGTGCTCTGCGCCCGGGCGCGGGGAACGCTTCCGCTTCCGGCCGGGCTGCGTCGAGGCTCCCCCGTGGCGGCTGTGGTGCGCGCGGCGGGCGAGCGAGCGTCCTTTCCTGAGCGTGACTTTGTGATCCGTGACTCGGTGTGATGTAGTGTCGGGTGTGTCTGTGATCCGGCGAAGTCTGTGTGGTGAGGCGTCTCTGCGTGTTCCTGTGCGCGTGCGCCTGCGGCGAGCGGCCGGTGCCCTCGGGGTGGAGCGCGGGGCGTCGCCGAGGAAGATTGTCAGAGCTGGGATGGGATTTCCTGAGTGAAGTTGTCTCTCAAGGGCTGTGTGTGTCTGTGTGATTTTGTCTGAGTGTCCACCGCCTGCTCGAGGCTGGGTGTGCCTGTTGAGTGTGGACAGGGCTTGGTGTGTGCGAGTTTGTACTCATGCCCGGGTCTGTGTGACTGACTGACTGCGCATCTGTGTGCAGCGAGGGTGGATGGCAGTTGTCATTTTATGGGTTTGTGTGTGACTGAGTGCGACGGGGAACAGAGTCCTGTGTGACTTCTGTGACTGCGTAATGGAGTTGGGGTCATGTCTGTGGTTTTGTGTGCGAGGGGCTTACGTGGTGGGCGACTTTGGGTGGCTGTTGTGATATGTGTCACCGTGCGATGCTGGATGTCCCTGTGGGAAGGGCTACCGGGCACTTGCCTGAGGAAGTGAACAATGTGTGTGGTTGTGTTCGCGCGTAAGTTTGCAACCGTATCTAAACCAGGTGGTCACCCTGTAGTGAGTCTGTGTGGCTGTGTGTTCGTCTGTAGGTGTCATTGTCCCTTGTGCATGAGATTCCGAGGACGCCTGTGAAGTTTTGTTCCTGGGTGGTGTGGGTTGTGATGGAACTTACGTTCTGGTGAGGAACAGCAATAAAAGAATGCCAGTCACTGATAAATGCTCTGGAGGAAATACCAGAGGGCAGTAGGACAGAGTGACTTCGGGGCTAGGACCACTCATTGAGTTTGGGCAGTTAGAAATACCCTCTTGAGGACGGAGGTCTAGGCTCAGCCCTGAATAGTGGGAATAACCTGGAGGAGAAGGGGGAGGAAGAGTGTTGTAGGCAGAGGGAAGGGCGAGGACAAGGGCCCTAAGGCAGAAATGAGCCTGGGATGCTGGAGGAACAGCAGGGCAGTGAGGTGCTGAGCAGATGAGGGCCACCACGGGTCGACACAAGTTACAAGGCCAGACTGATGTCAAGAGGTGGGGGGAGGGCACCACACTTAAGGTGACAGATCACTGCAGAGATACACGGAGAGGCTATAGCTATAGGGAGCGTGAAGAACGGGGCAGTAACTCCTCCGCCACAGTAATGAGCTCATGCTTACCACGTCCTGCAGGTAGATCCTCTTCTTACCCCATTTCTCAAATAAGGAAACTGAGTCTCAGAGAGAGGTTCTAGAACTTGTCCAAGGTCATACAGTTAGTGGGTCATAGATGGGATTCAAACCCAAGTAACTTGTTTCCAGAGTTTGAGTTCTCAGCTTGGATCAGGCTGCAGGAAACAGTGGCCACTTAACCCATTCCTCCAACCCCAACAAGGGACGTGGTCATTCCAGGTCCCAGAGGAGGGGCTGGTATGATGGCCCAGCTGGGCCTCCTCTCACCACTCTTTCCTCCTCCCCCAGCTCGGGTCTCAGGCCTCCACCAGGAGAAGTTCTCTGAAGAGGAGGGCATGGTTCCCAGGCTTGGGACTGCAAGGCCCCAGTAAGTCAGTCTTCACTGGTCTCCCCTGGAAAGGCCACTGGATTCTGAAAGACAGGACATCGCTCCTGGTTGTGTGCGGAGCACATAGATCTGGTGTGGTAGTGGTGATGGTGGGTGTGCTTCACTTGTTAGTCAGCAGATATCTGTGGGCCTCCTGTGTTCGGGGCACCCTGTAGGCACCGGGATGCAGTGCTGTTGAGACTGATGAGGCCCCTGCTGTATGGAGACCAGGAATGATGGGAGACGCGCAACAAACACATCAGCCTGGTCATTCAGGGGTGCTAAGTGCTGCGGGAGATCCATGAATGCACCAAGCAGGGTCAGAGGGCTGCATTCAGGGTAGCAACACTAGGCCAGTGTTCCATGACAGCTGTTAGCTGGGCTGAGTAGGGGCACCCCCCTTTGGACAGAGGGATTTCCAGTTTGCCGCAATCCCCACCCCTCCCTATCGGTCCCCAGCAACTGAATCCTGTGTCCGCAGAGAATTACTTCCATCAGAAAAGGGAGAAATGGAAGCAAGATGAAGGAGGGCCATGCGTTTCAAGAAAGGTAGAAGCATTCAGGCAGTCCACTTCATTCATTCCCATTACCTAGCTAGCTCCCATAGGCTCTTGAGTTTGAGATCCCAGAGGTGGGGAGGTTGGGGGTCCTACTGTGTCATAGTGGGAAACACAGCCCATCTAAAGGGGCCACTGTGACCTGGCTCCAGCATGTTGTCACTGCAGGAATCCAGGCTTTGCAATGTAAAAGCTTCCTTGTTTTTCAAGACTGATCATTTGGATTTTTGTACGAATATCCACGTTTTAAAATATCGGCAGTGCCAGTAAATATTGGCATCTTCCAATAGCCACGTGGCACACACCTCTTCACCTCCCTCAGGTCTTTGTCCAGAGTCACTTTCCTGTAACGTCTCTTCTGACCACTCTAGCTGGCATGTAATCTCCCATCACTGTCATCCCTGCCTGCTTGTTTTTCTCTGTAGCACTTAGCACCATCTAACATGCTCTGTTTTGCTGGTTTATTGTCTAAGCCTGACTAGAATGTGGGATTCACCAGGGCAGGGTTTTGGTCTGTATCCCTAGTGCCTGGAAAGGTGCCCGGCATAAGTCGACCTCAGTAAATCTTTGTCACACTGAATGCATTGCAGTTTCCTGTAGAACCTCACGGGGATGCCAGACTCCATGAGTCTGTGGGCTCTTCTAGCTCTTGGACCACCACATGCTGCTTCAGCCATGCTGTGGTGAGTCCTGAACCCAGCCTGACCCACTCTTTTCTTTTTTGACTCCCCTCCCAACCCCAGGCCCCTTTTCCCTATGGCCATGTGAAGGGCTGTCATGCCATGGCCTTGTCATTCCAGGAGCTGATGGCATTCCAGGATGTGGTGGTAGACTTCTCCCAGGAGGAGTGGGGGCAGCTGAGTCCTGGCCAGAAGGCCCTATATTGGGACGTCATGCTGGAGAACTACAGGAACCTGGTCTCACTGGGTAAGTGACTTATCAGTGAACTCAGACCCCACCTCACTGCATAGAAGCCAAGGGGCATCAGGAGTGTCAGCACTGTGTTGGGATGGGGTTCAGCCACTCAGTGCCTCTGAGGGTCCTCCCACCCTCCTTCCCCTGAAGTGTCCATCTATCTGGATGAACATAATGGAAAAGTTAAGGGTGACTCAGGCTTCAGGCATGGCTGGATCCAGGAGCTCAAGTGTTACCTCCCGGCCTTAGTCTCTTTGGTCCTCTATAGGCTCCCACTCTCTGTTTCTCAGTTCTGTTTTCTCCTCTCTTGGCTTCCCTCTCGGGCTGGCCCCTTCCACTTCTGGCAGCAACAGGCTTCAGTGACACTCAGTGGTCCCAGCAGGGTGGAAGCCTTTCTTTCCCAGAAGTTCTAACGGAAGTTGCAGGCCCTAGTGCCATCAGACCACATCTGTTCTCTTTATTAAGCCAATTGGAGGCCAGGGGATTGAACACTTGGGTTACCCATTATTGGTAGCTGACACCTGCTGAACACTCATTATATGCCAGTGTGTGGCTGGGGTACGTGGGGGAGGAGAAGAGGAGAACCCAGATGAGGGTCAACAAGGGCCCAGTTGTGGGAGTCCCATTGAAGGGTGCCCACAGAGAACGTACCGTAGGACATCTCAGTTCAGTTTAGAGCCCTATTTCTTTTATGGCCTCTGCCCCTCTCTGCCTCTTTCTCTGGCTCTGTCTCGCTCAATCCCTGTGATAGAATTGACTATCAAATGGGAGAAATGGAAGCAAGTGCCATGCGTTTCAAGAAAGTGAGAAGCATTCAGGCAGTCCACTTCATTCATTCCCATTACCTGGCTAGCCCACATAGGCTCTTGAATTTGAGATCCTGAGTCCTGGCCAGAAGGCTCTATACTGGGACCTGACTGCCCCTATGTCTGTGTTCCTCAACTTGTTTCTACCAAAATCCTGGTAGAAGTCACATTTTACCTCCCAGCCCACTGCACATGCTTTGTATCCATCTGATAAAATTGAAATAAAAATTTTATAAAAAAATGATACTTGTCCTTATTATACACAGTGCACTCTGTTACTCCATTCAATTTCATTTTTTAAAACTTCTTACTACAACCCACTAAAGCAGTGGTCTCAACCTGGAGTGGTTTTGCCCTAAGTTGACATGTGGCAATGTCTGAAGAAATTTTTTTTTTTGGTTGTCACAGCTGAGAGGGTGCTGTTGGTGCAGAGTGGAAGTGGCCAGGGATGCTGCTCAACATCCTGCAATACCCAGGACAGTCCCCACAAGAGAGAATTATCTGGCCCAAAATGTCAATAGTGTCAGAGTTAGGAATCTGACTGAGTTAGTTCCATGACTCACTGAAGAATAGCAGCGGCCTAAAATTGAATGTGCATGGGATCCAACTCCTGAGACCAGGCTGTGAGGTAGTGAGGGCTCACTTCAGCCCACGTGGTTTTCTGAGGCCCCAGTATCCTGGTCTGCCCTTTCCAAGTTCTCATCTTCCCAGATGAGCTGGGTTCATCCTTGACATACTTCCTTCCTCTGTGGGTCAACCCTACTTTCCCCGATTTTATAATCTGTGCATGCTTCCTCCTTTACCCAGACTGGACCCAGATGTCCAGCCTCACTAGAGAGCTGGTACATCAGTCAGAATTCTCCAGAGAAACAGGACCAATAAATTGTATATATTGAGGGATTTACTTTAAGAAATGACTCATGCATTTGTGGGGCTGATACGTCCAAAATGTGTGGGGCTGCCCAGCAGGCTGGAAACAGGCAGGAGCTGATGCTGCAGTCTTAAGGCAAAATTTCCTCTCTATGAAACCTCAGTTTTTGCTCTTTAGGCCTTCAGCTGATTGGATGAGGTCCACCTACATGATCATGGATAATTTCCTTTACCTAAAGTGATTGTAAATGCTAACCAACACTTAAGATTCCTAGTTGATTGAAATCCCTGGGGACTAGAGCATGGTCAGGCTGACAAGACTAATAGTCACAATGGGTAATGGAGCAGCCATCTTATTTTCAGTGTTCTGTCTTACAGGAATTTGCAGTTTTGAAAACTTTATTTCAGACTGGGGCACTGGGCCTAACAACAGGACACCTTCAAAGCATAACATCTCTGAAAAGTCACCCCAGAAGAAAGGACTTTGGGACATGAACTTCATAAAGGCCTGCAAAGAGGACAGCCTCCCCGAGATGCCAATCCTGGTGAAATCTCTGAGCAGCTTCACAGAGAAGAAAGGGTACAGATGTCCTGACTGTGGGAGAGCCTTCAGCTCCTTACTCAACACTGGCGGATCCACACAGGGGAAAGACCCTATGAATGCAGTGAGTGTGCGAAGGCTTTTAGCTAGAGGGCAAACCTTATTCAGCATCAAAGGATTCATTCTGGAGAGAAACCATACAAGTGTGAGGACTGTGACAAAGCTTTCAGGCAGAGCTCCTCCCTCAGGGAGCACCAGATTATCCATAGCGGCAAGAAACCATTTCTCTGTAATGAATGTAGGAAAGGCTTCAGCAAACGCTCAGCCCTCATCTCCCATCAGAGAATTCACACTGGCGAGAAACCCTATCAATGTAATGAGTGTGGGAAGGCCTTTAGTGATCAGTCATTCTTCAGCCAACACTGGAGGATCCACAATGGGGAGAAACCTTATGGATGCAATGAATGTGGAAAGGTCTTTAGCTGGGCCTCATCCCTTAATCACCAGAGAACTCATACAGGTGAGAACCCCTATAAATGCCCCGACTGTAGGAAACCTTCGGTACAGGTCCTCCCTCATCGAGCACCGGAAAACCCACACAGGAGAGAAACCCTACAAATGCAGCGACTGTGAGAAAACTTTCAGCTATAGCTCCTCCCTCAGCCTCCATCAGAGAACTCACAACGGGGAGAGTCCCTATATGTGTAAGGAGTGCGGGGACACCTTCAGGTATTGCTCCTCCCTGACCAAGCACCAGCGGACCCACAGCATCAAGACAACCTGTGAGTGTAAGGAATGTCTAAAAGCCTTTAGTAGTTGTGATTCATCCCTTAAAGTATATCAGAGGATCCATACAAGGGAGAATCCTATGCATACAGAGAGGGTGAGGAAGACCTTTGTGGCAACTAACTTCCGGCAGTTCTTAATAAAACATACTATGCATGTGAAACCTTCAGATTTCATTCACCCCAAGAGGTCTGAAACATCACATTATAGTCATGGGGATATGCCTCAGGGGTCCCCAAAACCACCCCATTGTGGTGACTCAGTAAGAGGTCAAAGGACTCAGCATATAGTCATACTCATGGCTAAGAGTTATCATAGCAAAAGGATACAAAGCAAAACCAGCTAAGAGGTGCATGGGGTGAAGTCTGGAGGAAACCAGGCACAAGCTTTCAGGATTCCTCTCCAAGCACAGTCACACAGTACACATTTAGTTCCTCCAGCGGGTTGTGACAACACTGCTCTCCCACCACTACCTCCCAACATTAAGCTATTTTCTGACCTCGGGACCTTTGCACATGCTGTTCCCTCTGCCCAGAACCCTGTCCTCCCCAGTTGTTCCTTGGCTGACTTCTCATAGGGCCACCTCTTCAGAAAGCTTTTCTTGGACCACCCAGTCTAAAATTAGCCCTCTCAACCGGCACTCCCTCTGCCTATTTACCATCTTTTTCTTTGTAGCACATACCACCTTGTTTTGCTTACTACCTTTCTCTTTATTGTACACTGAAGTTTGAGAAATACTGGTTCAGGATAAGGTTGAAAAGCTCATATGCCTATGGGGGTCAAGCACTTCAAGCAAATGCATGAATACCTTTAGATCAAGCTCATCTCCAGTTCTGCCACAGGCCCCGTTAACACATTTGCACAAAATGCCTGGTACCTCTTTTTCAACCCAGTGTTTTTTGGAACTTTAGCTTTCAACAGAATCCCCTGTAGGGCTTGTTAAAACAGGGTGCTGGGCTCCACTTCCAGAATCTCTGGTTCAGTAGGTCTGGGATGGAGCCTCAGAATTTCTAAGATGTTCCTAGATGTATTCGTTTCCTGTGACTGCTTAACAAATTGCCACAAACCTAGTGGCTTAAAACAGAAATTTCATCTTTCACAGTTCTGGAGGTCAGAAACCTGAAATCAGTATCACTGGGTCAAAATCAAGATGTCAGCAAGGCCTTAATCTGGAGGCTCCATGGAACAATCCTTCCTTGCCTCTTCAACTGCTGGTGTTCTTGTTTTGTGGCTGAATCATTCTAGTCTTAAAATCGTGTGTGTGTGTGTGTGTGTGTGTGTGTGTGTGTGTGAGAGTGAGAGAGAGAGAGAGAGAGATCTTCTGCTTCCTTACAAGGATATGTTAGTGGCATTTAGGGCCCACCCAGATAATCTCTTCATCTCAAACTCCTCGATCATATCTGAAAAGCCCCCTTTTCCAAATAAGGTAACATTTAAAAGTTCCAGGGATTAAGACCTGATCTCTGTGGGTTGTCAATCTATTCACTCTAAATCCCTACCTCCTCAAGGCATAAGGATTAGAAACCAGCAGAGGATCTGGCCCATAGTGATTCAGATGCCTCAAAACAGGATCTATGGACCAGACATAGCCCACAAATGTTTTATGGTCCTGAGTGGATTTTTTTTTAATTAGTTGCCTCCATTAAAATATTGGGAAACATCACATAAAAATTGAGCATTCCAGCATCTCTTGAAAAATCAAAGATCTTGTAACAGGAGGTCCTTTGTTGAGGATTATCTCCTTTCCTCTTTATGACTTTCCCGATCCTGCCCACCTGGCTCCCTCAGATACACATCATAGTGGAGATTCTTTGCAGCTCAGATCCCTTCTCTTTATTCCAAGCCTAACATTTTACCTGAGAGGCTGAAGTGGGCCAGGTGCCACGGCAGTGGGTCCTGTACTTCTTTCCTCCTTCAAGATCCCACCTGTAGGAGACCTGATGGCCTGGGCACCAGCACTGAACCCAGAGCTTCCCAACTGGAAGGGTCAGTGGGAGGAGAGATTTGAAGCTAAGGTGGGGGCATGGCTGACCCACTGAGGTCGTATTCATAAGTATGTGTGTGGGTACACACACATGCACATACCCACGCACACTGCTAGGCTTCTCTGATTTCCTGGTGAAAGGGTCCCCAGCTTACATCAATATTTCAGGAGCATCTGTGGCCCCCAGCTGCTTCTGGAAGTCAGGGGTTTGGTTGGCTTGAATGCATGCAGTGGGGCAACACTGAAGTAACCCCATTCCTGGAATGCTGGCTTTTTTTATGAGAACTCTAACAGAAAAAAGAAAAACCCTACACAAGGAAACCCAGAACTGCAACAGTATGTAGGAATGACTAAGGAAAATTTGTGACCTGATGAGAAGTAAACTATAAACTTTGATTGAAAGGACAATATGTTCCTGGATGCTAAGATTAAATGTAACAATGCTTTTTTTTTTCTCTAATTTATTTATAAGTTCATGTCACTATAATCAAAAGACTTTAATAAACAAATTTTCATCCAGAAGAATAGCAATTATATATTTTTCATATAAATATGCACACACATAAATATACTTTTTAAAGGTACAATGATAGAAAACTCAAATATAAGGCTCCAAAAATTAAGAAGACTATAGATCTAAGATAAAAAAGGACAAGTCAATGAAACAAAGTAGATGGTCCAGATAATAGATCCTACACTATACAAAAACATGACTGAATCGTTTACTAATAATTGATGTTGGAGCAATTAAGAATGGGTAATTTTGATTACTTCATACAATACATCAAAGTTAGTTAAAGAGTAGTTAAAATAGATATAAAAATAAAACAATGAAAACACTGTTTAGAGAAGTTTAGATTTTATAGGCTTGGAACATGGAAGGATTGAACTATATAAAAATGGAAACCTTGTCAAAAAATAATTCAAAAAAATGCCAAACAATTTGGGCAAAACATGGCCAAAATGAAGAGAAATAATTAATATATTTATTATATAAAGAGATTACTTAAATTGATAGAAAGGCATTAAAGCCACAAAGATCATGCAAAGAGAGGAAAAATATAATTGCTTAACAAATTTAGAGGGAAATGTTCAACCTCCTTAAGAACTAAATAAATTCAATTAAAATTAGATGCCCTTTCCCCTATTAAATTAGCAAAGGAGAAAAATGCTGTTAATACATAATGCCAACAAGGACATGTGGAACACATGCCATCACATTATAGGCAGCAGTGCAAACTGGTGTAATGTTTTCAAAGGAGCTTGGATGTATGTATCAAGAACCTTAAAACGATCATACCCATCCTGACCCAGTGATTCCCATTTGGCAAAACCTACCCGAGGGAAAGAATCCTAAATTTGGAAAAACATTTAAGCACCAACATGTTCACTATGAAACTATGAAAAAAGCAGAACTAAGTCAAACATTCAAACAACAGAGGAGGGCCAGACATGGAAAACTCTGGCGCAGCTGTTAACAAGGTGCTAACAGACAAGGAGATGAGACACGAGGGTGTAGGGTGTAAGACTGGGTGGAAAAATAAGATCTACACTATTGCACGTACAGAATGATCACAGCTCTATGAAAACTATAAACACCTTATAATAGGTAACATAGTCACATGGGTAGAAAAGTGAAAAGGCAGAGGTACTGTGAAAACTAGACCTTTCCCCACTACTCCCCAGAGGCAACCACTTTCATGAATCTAGTAATTATTTTTAAATTATAAGAAAATGGTGTTCATGGTGTATGGGGCATTGTGGGGGCAAAGGGAAGAGAGCTCTACCTTTCTATAAAATAGGAGTTGTTTACTTTAAAATGAAAAACAATCCTTCAGAAATGCATATATTAAAAACTATGGAAAGAGCCCAGATGTCCATCAACAGATAATGGATAGGGGCGCCTGGGTGGCTCAGTTGGTTAAGCGACTGCCTTCGGCTCAGGTCATGATCCTGGAGTCCCTGGATCGAGTCCCGCATCGGGCTCCCTGCTCGGCAGGGAGTCTGCTTCTCCCTCTGACCCTAACCCCTCTCATGTGCTCTCTCTCATTCTCAAATAAATAAATAGAATCTTTAAAAAAAAAACAAACAACAGATAATGGATAAAGAAGATGTGATATATATACACACACACACACACACACACACACACAATGGAATCTTACTCAGCCATCAAAAAGAATGAAATCTTGCCATTTGCAACAACATAGAGAGAACTGGAGGGTATTATGCTAAGTGAAATAAGTCAGTCAGAGAAAGACAAATACCCTATGATTTCACTCATGTGGAATTTAAGAAACAAAAAGATGAACATAGGGTAAGGGAAGGTAAATTACAGAGAGAGAGAGGCAATCCATAAGAGACACTTAACTATAGGAAACAAACTAGGGTTGCAGGAGGGGAGGTGGGTGGGGGGACGGGGTAACTGGGCAATGGGCATTAAGGAGGGCACTTGATGGAATGAGCACTGGTGTTATATGCAACTGATGAATCACTAAGTTCTACCCCTGAAACTTATAATATACTGTCTGTTAACTAAATTGAATTTAAATTAAAAAAAATTTTGGGGGGGGCGCCTGGGTCGCTCAGTTGGTTAAGCGACTGCCTTTGGCTCAGGTCATGATCCTGGAGTCCCAGGATCAAGTCCCGCATCGGGCTCCCTGCTCAGCAGGGAGTCTGCTTCTCCCTCTGACCCTCCTCCCTCTCATGCTCTCTGTCTCTCATTCTCTCTTTCTCAAATAAATAAATAAAATCTTTAAAAAAAAATTTTTTTTTTTAAAGAAAGGAAAGTGAGTTCGGGCAAATCAGAAAAGGCATGGAGACACACTACCTAAATAGGCAAAGGGCCTAAATTATTCACAAAGAAATTTAAAAGCATATACGGAAAAATTCATTAGTAAGGAAAGAATCACTTTTTTGGCTTATCAAATAGGCAAACGTTTTTGTTGGTTTGTTTTAAATGAGCTACCCACCCACTGCTGGTAAAGTTGTTCAAATGCTTATTTATACCAGGCATGGCAAAGACATTTCTTTGTATCTACTAACCTTGCTCAGTTTGTTTTTCCTACCCGGAATGCTGTGTTGTGAAAGATTTTTCCAGTGCAGGGGACCCAGAGAGCATAAGTGATATGCAACACTTGTTATTGACTCAGGAGAGAAGATGGTTTGTCACCTGTTTCATACCCCTGGACCTCCCTTTGCTAGAAATGGCATGGCCCCTCCAAAAAGAAATTCATCAGGATCTTTCAAGAGCCACAGAAATGTTTATACCACATCTCACCTAATAATATCCCTTTTTGGAAATCTATCCTAAGAAAACTATAAATACAATGCTTTATGCTCTGTTAATCAAACCTTTGTATAATTAGTCATTTAAAAATGTGATTACAAAATGAGAAAAAGAACTTCAAATCTGCAAAATGTATATGAGAAACCCTAACACACTGAAAAACTTGCTTGTATAGGGAATACTAAAGTATGATAAAATCTGGTTTATAATTCTGTAGTTTGCTGTCACTAAGAATGTCTTAAAAAGTAAATGAAAAATACATGAAAACAAAATATTCCATAATAGCAGCTATAGGTAACTGAGTGCATACTATGTACTAGGCACTGTTAGGCTCTTTTATGCAGATGAGCTCCAAGCCTTTCGACAGTTCTGGGGGAAGCACTGTTACCCCATTTCCTGAGGAAACAAAGTCAGGCTCCAAGAATGGACTAAGATTTGACCTCAGGTCAGCCTGGCTCCGAAGCCCACACTTTCCCTTCTCTGCCAAGAGCTCTTCTACCTGTAAACAAAACTACATTCCTGGGCTTGTACTTGTTGAGATTCTGGGACTATTAGGAAATTTATTAGCCTTCTTTGCTTTCCAAAATTTTCCTTAATATGCTTACTATTATTTGTTTAGTGAAAAAGTAAACCTAATAAAACTATGTTAAAATTAGGGTTCTAACAAACTTTGCCTGTGATTCTTTCTGACTTCAGTCCTGTTATTAGATGGGTTCATAGAGCAAATTCTTCAAGGAGAAAAGTGAGAGACAGTTGAGTAGTTTAGTTGTTCCCTAGAGAAAATAAAATCACAACTTTTAGACTTTGCTGGGATGAGGCCAGGAAGGTTTCTAAAACCTTTGAGATACACATACCTCTTGGCCGAGATATCCTGCTGCTGGGAATTTCCTCTTAGGAAACATGACTATATGCAAAGACATTAGAGCAAATTGATAAGGGAAATACTAAGGCCTAACAGGTAACAGGGAAGTGTAATGATAGCAGTAACGTACAAATAAAAGATAAATTAAAAGCAACCTCAGTATACAACCTTAGAAGGCTAATGCTAGAAAATAAATCAGGATACATCTATGTAACCAAGTACTAGGCAGTCCTGAAAAACAAAAGTTAGGGGCATAAATATGGATATGGAAAGATATTCATGATATATTAGAATAAAAATTACACCCTTCAAAACAGTGCCAATGGTACGATTCTATTTCATAAAAATATTTTTATATAAAAATCTATATAGATCTATGCAAAGGAAAAATATCTGGACAATTTTATATCCTTTTTAGCAGCAAGTGTATCTGGGAGAGGGTAATACAAATATTCAAAGAAAAACATGTTATTTTCTAATCTTCAAAGAATATATATTACCAGCATAATCACAAAAAAATGCTTAAAACACGAGTATTTCTAAATTTTAAAAAAATTAACCTGAATAAAAGAGCTGTTGTTAGGAATTGGGTGGGAAAAGGAGGGAAGCAGCAAAAGCATTATCCTTGGGAGCCCACTAGGATAGCAAGCTGAAAACCAAAATAACAGGCTGAGGTATGTAGCATCTCGGTCAGGTCAAGTTTGTAAAATATGGAGGCAGTGGCTGGTATGTCTTCCATATGTTCCAAATAGTTCAGGGGTGACAAGCAAAGTCAACTATCCCATGCTGTCACCGATTCCAGTTTTGGCATGAAAGAAGCATCAGAACAAAATTAGTCAAGTCGTGCTCCTTGACTTTCTCTAGTTAAGGCTCCTCAAGAAGTCTGAAGCCCTGGCCCAGAATTCTCAACAAATGGCCCACACCCAGACCCTCAAGAAGTCTCGTCCACCGGGGTGCTTGGGTGGCCCAGTCGTTAAGCGACTGCCTTCGGCTCAAGTCATGATCCCAGGGTCCTGGGATCGAGCCCCGCATCGGGCTCCCAGCTCAGTGGGGATCCTGCTTCTCCCTCTCCCACTCCCCCTGCTTGTGTTCCTGCTCTCACTATCTCTCTGTCAAATAAATAAATAAAATCTTTAAAATAAAAAAAAAAAAAAAGAAGTCTCCACCATCTCTTAATTCAAGTGTCTGAAGACCAAACTGGAGTGATGGAGGAATGTAGAGAAATCTAGAAGAGGTAATGAAGAAGGAACTAAAGCAGCTGGCCTATGTATAATCCAAAGATGGTGAACGCTTGGAAACCTCATCATCTGTGACTGGGGCAGTGGCTTGGAGAGTGATTTTAAAAGGCTGGACTCCTGGGAAAAGCCAACACCATATCATGCTGGTAAAGCACACAAAACTACCTAAAAGGTATTCTTGCCAAAGAAGCTGAAGATGAATCTAAGTCTCTGATATACTAACTTCTATTTACAGAAAACAGAGAGAGAGGAACAAGCTTAAGACACTACAGGAAGCAGACAGATTTAGAATGGGGAATATCACACAGGACAATGGCACAGTTTCTTCCAGTATTATTTGCATAATCACACAAAACTTTTACAGAAAAAAGGTGCTAGAATGATGGTCACCAGGGCTGGGAAAAGGGAGAAATATGGAGTTACTACTTAATGGGTATAGAGTTTTGGTTTTGCAGGATGATAAAGTCCTGGGGATCTGTTGAACAATAATGTGACTATAATTAACACTACTGAACTGCACACTTAAAAATGTTTGAGATGGCAAATATTATGTTATGTGGTGCTTTTTACCACAATATAAACAGTTTTAAAAATAAGTGCCTTCAAATTAAAAATTAAACCAGAATATAAGAGTACTAAAACTGTTAGATATATTAGGAATTGGTGGGAAGAGGAAGGAGGTGTATCTCTACATCATCCTTGGGGTCACACAAGGCATTAAAAAAAGTAAGAGGAGACTGCTTTAGATTAAGACTCAAGAGATCAGACAACCAAATACAATTTGTAGACCATGTTTGAATCTGGATTCAAATGAGCTAATTGTAAAAAGACATCTTAGCAGCTATCAGGGAAATCTGATTATGGCCCGGGTAAAACCCTTTGTTTGAGGTGATTTAAAATTTTCCTCCTAAAGTAGATGTATTAAGGGGTGCCTGGGTGGCTCAGTCAGTTAAGCGTCTGCCTTCGGCTCAGGTCATGATCCCAGAGTCCTGGGATCGAGCCCCACGTCAGGCTTCTTGCTTGGCAGAGAGCCTGCTTCTTCCTTTCCCTTTGCCTCTCCCCTGGCACGTGCTCTCTCTCAAATAAAAAAATAAATAAAATCTTTTAAAAAATAAAGTAGATGTATTAAAATTTAAAAAACAGAGAGAAGACAATTGAAAAAATGTATTAAGTGAATCACAATGTAGATTTAGCAAAAATGGCGAGGGGAGAAATGAAATGACTGAGATTGACAGGAGCCTGAGTAAACTGATGGCCCTGGGGAAAGAAGCTGATTTCACAAGATGGGAGGTAGAATCCATCAAAAAGTCATACAGGGAATTCCTGGAGGGGAAGGGAGAGAAATTAAGGAGGGTGTAGCAAGTTAAAAGTGTTCAGAAAAGGTTGGCAGCTTGTTAAGAAGGCCCAGGAGCCAACCTGAAAGGGTTCCCAACAGCCAACACTGGAAGAATGTGAACAAAATAAATAGTATTTAATTACAGCCCATAGAATAAAATAAATATCCATGAATTCATACTGATATAAATAAATTACTGAATAAATAAATAGGGTGGGTAACTTCCTCACATGAGAAATCTAATTACTAAATGTAGAAAGAATGAGGGAAATAGAAATTCACCTTATAATACCACAGAGCCACAATGGCTGTAGGCGAGATCTATTTGCAAGATGCTAAAATTTAGTGGGTAAAAGTTTGAGGAGAAACTGGATACAGGCAGTTCCTGACTTATGATGGTTCAACATATGATATTTTGACTTTACAATGACTTTACAAAAGCAAATGCATTCAGTAGAAACTGTACTTCAAATTTTGAATTTTTATCTTTTCCGCACCTAATGATATATGGTACAAGACTCTCTCATGATACTGGGCAGTGGCAGCGAGTGGTAGCGAGCCCCAGCTCCCTGTCAGCCTTGTAATCACAAGATAAACAACCAATACACTTAGAACCCTTATGTACCCATACAGTCATTCTGTTTTTCACTTTCAGTATAGTATTCAATAAATTACATGAGATAGGGCGCCTGGGTGGCTCAGTTGGTTAAGCGACTGCCTTCGGCTAGGTCATGATCCTGGAGTCCCGGGATCGAGTCCTGCATCGGGCTCCCTGCTCGGCAGGGAGCCTGCTTCTCCCTCTGACCCTCCCCCCTCTCATGTGCTCTCTCTCTCTCTCATTCTGTCTCAAAAAAAAAAATCTTAAACAAACAAACAAAAAATTACATGAGATATTCAACACAATGATAAAACAGGCTTTGTATTAGATAATTTTGCCCAACTATAGGCAAGTGTAAGTATTCTGAGCACTTTTAAGGTAGAATATGCCAAGCTATGATGTTCAGTAGGTGAGGCATATTAAATGCACTTTCAGCTTACAATATTTTCAATTTACGATAGGTTTATCAGGACAAAACCTCATCGTAAATCAAGGAAGATCTGTACTTGCAGTCTCATAATTTCTCCAGTAGGATACTTATTAATTACAAAGAGAAATAAATAGTAACTTTAAAGAACAACCCAGTGGACAGCACTTTAAATCAAGGCATCAAGACTAATCAGTATCACTATCAATTAAGATGCACTGACATCCTGTTCCTTTGTGGGAGTGGTGGCAGGATCAGAAACCAGTTTACAGTAGGTTGAAGAGTAGACTGTCATGAGAAAATAGGGCCTGCCAGTGAGGGCTATTTCATCAAGAACTTTGGAAATGAAGAGAGGTTGTGCGGCTAACATTCGTTTGGCTCATCAGGTTCTGACGAGTAATGTTTGCTTTTAATTTCATGACTCTGGGCCACGCATCATAGATCAACCTTAAAAAGGGCTGATGAGAAAAAGCAGGGCAGTGAATAACAACAGCAACAAGTCACCCTACCAGGCAAGGGATCAGGTTCTGGGATTCCAGGTCCAACTGGTTACCATGTGTCTCTGTATCTGACCACCAATCAAGGCAGTGATGGAAAGCTTTTAACATTATAGCAATATGGCATTCAAGAGATTTTTGTGCAACTCTGGGCTCATACCTTTAAAGAGCAAAGTGTGTTCTGTGTAGAATTAGGATTTTAGGTGAAGTTCGCTGTGCTAATGATGCCACAGCCCAAGAAAGTTCTCAAACAGGATTTTTTTTAAAGGAAGGAAAAGGGAAACAAGAAACCCTAATCCCTCAGACAACCACAGGAAACTACAAAAAAGATTCTCCTTGATTAGTAACCGTTTTATGACCTACAAGAACACTTACAAGAAAGTGTTTAGCAAAAATACACCTCCCTGAATTAGTCTCAGAAAGTCATCCTCTAATCCTAAATCTCAAGGGAAGTGGCTATCATACTTCACCCTAAGAAAACTTTCTGAACCTCTAATACTGTAGGTGTCCTTGTCTGATTTCACATGAAACAGTGCTGGGACTACTACAGAGGAAGATGGCTGAAGGCAGTAGAGCACTGCCTTTTCTTCAGAGAGGAAGTGGCAGGAGTAAAGAAAACCAGGGTCAAACATCAAGATATGAAATAAATACCTCATGAAATCTCAAAATAAAACAAAGCCGGGGTTCATTTCCTACTTCATCACTTACAACCTGGGTCAGATCAACCAACCACTTGGGAGCTTCAAGTTCGCCTTGCCTGTAAAAATAGAATAAATATGCCCACTAGGTACACTGCAGCATTCCTTAAAAGATCAAATAAAATAATATACATGACAATGTTTTGTGAATTATGAGGTGTGATGTAAACACATTGCCAGTTACATCAGCCTTGTGGACGAATCAATATAAGCACACCTTGAAAATCTTTCTACCACGCTCTGTGTTGACACATCCCACATGAAGATACTGTACGTAAACACTCCTAGAAAAACTTGGGAACAGACTGCCTGTCTGAAGTCCAACGGCCAGTCACAAAATTTTTGTCAGGGTGTCAAAATGAAAGTTTTCCATTCCACGAATACCACCAAAAGAAAGGCAAAATCTATTAACTTCTTTCCTATGCAACAAAAATATTCTTTGTAAGGATTTTCAGCTGTGTGACTACTGATACGTGTGCTGGATCTTCTTTTGCAAAAGGCTGGTCTGTACCCTTGCAACCATTCGCCATGTTTTTTATCACATCATGATGAGTTTTCAAGTCATTAAGTTGTGAGAGCTGGAGGAAGGTATTCTCGCATTCAGAGCACTCAGAGGGTCTCTCCCCAGGATGAAGCCAAAGATGTTGAGAATGTTCTCTGACTGGAGGTTTTTAGTAATGATTGCACTCATCAGGTTTCTCTTGAGAATGGAGCTGATAATGGCGGGTGAGGTGGGAGGGTCGGCTGAAACACTTCCCACACAGCTGACACTGGTAAGGTCTCTCTTGAGCATGAATTCGGTAGTGCTGAATGAGATGTGAAGTCCGACTGAAGGCTCTGCCACAGTCACAACACTGACAGGCTCTCTCTCCCACATAGTCATGTTTCCGCTGATACCGAATTAAATACGTCTTAACACGGGGCAACCTAGGGGGAAGGGCTTTTGCTGCCTCGTGGGCTTTGAGATGTTGGAAAAGATGCACATCCTGGATAAAGGCTCTGCCACACTGGGAACATTCATAGTAGTCTTCCTGCCTATGAATTCTTACACGGCCACCGATATTTGCATGCTGGATGAAAGACTTTCCACCTTCGTTGCATCCAAAGGACGTCTCACCATTCCGGTGAGTCCTCTGATGTCTGGTGAGGTGTGGCATGAGGTAGAAGGCTTCTCCACATCGTTTACATTCAAAGGGTTTCTTCCCAGTATGGATCTGCTCATGTCTCTCACGAGCTGTCTGGGTAATAAAAGTTCTTTCACAAAATCCACATCTGTTCTCTTGGAGGAAAGGCTTGTCATCCACCGGCTGGGGACTGGTGCAAATTCCAGGAGTAGCACATTCCTGGGGATCCTTTCCTGGAAGCCCTTCTGATTGCTTAGTAAGATATGAGCTCCTCTCAAAATCATCACGGTCATGGCTTCTTTCTTGAGTGGGGGTCTTGGGCTCAGTCATTGTTACAGGACTCAAAGGTTTCTCTTGGTTGACCTGGTACAAATCTGATGGATCATCAGGAGAAGATTCTCCTACATAGACACTGCAGAAGTTACCTACCATCAGATCCTCCATTCCTGCCCCCAAGGATGACTCTTCCACAGGCAGGCTTTGCTCTGGAGTTAGATCTTTGGTTTTAGGTCTTTTCTCCCCATCTAAAAGAAATGTAAAAGTTCCTCTATTCTTTCCTCACAGAGACACATCATTATAGTAGAGACATAAGAAAGGGACCAAAAATAACAGAACAGATCTTATGCAGATTGGGAGGGATTTAAATGTTTTGCTAAAAGTTTGGATTTTCTTTTGAGAGTAGTAGTAGTCAAAAGTTTGTGCTTTACAAAGGCAACTCTCTGTGTGGGAAAGAAACTGACAAGAGACAAGGATGAACACAACACTCTCGTGCTGGCAGATAGCAGATGAAATAGTAGAGCCAGAAAGCAGATTAGGAAATCATCAGGAAAGGGATAACTGGACCCACAATGGATTAGATCTTTTGGGAAATGGTCTTTGAAGAGACGACTCGCATAGAAGACCAAGAGACGGCTGTTCTGCCCGTTCTCCTCACAGAGAACACCTCAAGCCGTACTCGACAATCAGCACCAACCTCCATCAGCTTTAGCCTGCAATACCAAGCTCCCGACTGGTTTCTCTGCTGGTCTTCCTAAAGCCCACTTTCCATAGAACGGTCAGAGGGCTCTTTCTAGACACTGCTGCCCAGTGGAATGCCCTGCAATGAGGTAAACGATGTGTATTTTTGCTGTCTGATATATAGTCACTAGCCACATGTAGGTAAAGAACACTTGAAATGTGGCTGGTGTGACCGAGTTTAAATGTATGCAATTTTAATTCATGTAAATTCAACTATGTGTGTCTAGTGGGTGTCACATCAGACAGCACAGTTCTAAGGAGTCAATAATTCTACCTCATTCCCTGGGCTCAAAACCCTCTCATACCTTTTTCACATCTCACTTGTCATGAAATCCACATTCTTTAACATATTCCTATGTGAGCTGGCCTATGTCTATCTTCTCAACGTTAACTCCTATCCCCCTCCAGTTTACTCAGACCATATTGCTTTTCTTCCTTTTTCTGGAACACCCAAGCTCATTCCAAACTTGCGGCCTCTGTATTTGCTATTCCCTCTGCCTGCAACACTCTTCCTCAAGATTTCTATGTGGCTCCTCCTCCGTCTGACTACCTCTCTTAAGTGGCTTCCCATTTGTCACTGCCTGCTTTACACTCAGACTCTATTACTTGTCTGTGTATCAACTATCACCCCCATTAGAATGAAAGGACTATAAAGGAAGGGATTTTGTCTGACTTGATCATTACTGTAGCCACAGAACCTAGAACAGGGCTGGCCCACCACAAGGGCTCAATAAATATCTGTGGAATGACTGAAGGAGTCAAGGAGTGAATGTAAAGAAGACACTGAGGGCAACACAGAGGCAGGTAGAGGGGTCCCCTTGGTAGGTCCTTGAATTTTGTTTGGACATCTTCTCTGCCTACACAGGAAAAGGCAGGGAAAGCTGTATTGATTACCACTAGACTGGGCATAGCTACTGGTTCAGGAACGGGTTATGACCCAAATGGAACACTGAAAATGAGGAGAGGTGTGTCAAGGGCTTCTGAGAAAGAAGCGTCCTCGCTCTTGCGAATGCTTCTTGGACACACCTGCTCGCTTGCTCTCTCTCTCTCTCTCTCTCTCCCCCCACTGCCCCACCCCCGGACTGGAACAAGAAAGCACACCCAGGATTTGTCGGCAGAGTAAAAAAAAAAATGAAAGTAGGCCCTTGATAACATCACTGAGCCTCTGAATCCAGCCATCCCTGAAGCCCAGATGAGCAGTATTGTAAGCTAATACAATCCCCTTATGGCTTATACCAGTTTGGGTGTGGTTTTCTGTTAACAGGAGCTGAAGGGCAACAATGATCCTGGCTGATACACATAGTGACCCGGTTCAGAGAAGGAGAGGATTTCATAAAGATGACAAATGTTATCATATTGTAGCCATAGAGTTTGGAGAGGGCTTTTGTCCTTGAGCCATAAGGATGTTGGTAGGGACCTTTGGGCGTTGTGAAACAGAGTGTGAGAGAGGGAGAGGGAAAGACGGAGAGAGATACAGTGAGACTGTGTGTGTGCGTGTGTGTGTGTGTGTGTTGGCAGAGGTAGGGGATGGAAACCAGATTGTGGGGGTTAAAGAGGGAAGGGAAAGGGAGCCATTGGGTGTCAACAAGTCTGAAGAGCTGCCATGTGGGAAAATGCGAGGCAAGTGGAAAGAAGAGTGGTATCACGCCAAGGTTTTTTCTTGTCTCAGTTAAAGAGGAAAGACCGAGGTCTAGCTGCAAGGGGAAAGGCACGAATAAGTACAGGGGTTGGAAGAGTAGAGAAAAGGGAAACGGGCCTCCCTGGCACCAGGCAAGAGAGTCGCTCCGACTACAGGAAGAGCAGATGAAAGAAGAACTAAGTGCACACTAAGTGGTGAAACCTTGTGAGCCCTGAGAGCAGACCTCTACCAGCCCTCTATTTCCCTGGCCTGAGTGGACTTTGAGGGATGCTCTCAGACCAACAGCTCCCAGCCCCCATCCCGACTGACTGGGGGGATTGTCTTCCCGTAATTCCAGTCTCCATGGGCTTCCCCCTCACTACTTACCTTGACATATCTCTGTATTGCTGTCTTCCTCCCTCACACGTGACTCTTCCTCTTCCAGCTGTGAGATAATGTCAGGTTTAGGGAACTGGTACCCTGTTGAAGAAGGAGACTCATAACTTGGGGGTTTTACTTTGCACCCACAGCGACTCCCAGCCTAGGCTCTAAAGACTCAGAGATAATAAGGAAGATGCAAATTCACACAAAATAAAAGTGAAGCCTGTTTCTAATGATTTTGGCCCAAATGGGAGACATTTTTGGTTGTCACAAGTTCAGGGAGAGGAAGGAAGGCTATTGATATCTAGTACAGAGAGGCCAGTTCGCTAAACATCCTGCAATGCCCAGGACATTCCTCCACAGCAAGGAATGATCTGGCCTGAACGTCAACTGTGCCAAGGTTGAAAAACTCTGCTTTGGAGTAAAAATTGAAAAGGGGGCTTGAGAACAGTGTGCTGGGCTCTCTACTTCAGCTTGGGGGGATCTGATGTCATAGCTGCTCAACAAGTTCTTTTCCTCATGATAGCTTCATTCCCCTTGTCTTAAACTGCTCCTTCTCCCTCCCCTAGTTCTGTGTTTCCCAAACTTCAGTCATTTGCAGGCCACCTGCCGTGGTCTGAATGTTTGTATCCCCCCCAAATTCGTATGTTAAAATCCTAAAGCCCACTGTGGTGTTATTAGAAAGTAGGCTTTTGAGAGGTGCTTAGGTCATAGGGTGGAGCCCTCATGAATTGGATTAGTGCCCTTATAAAAAAAAGGCTTCAGTGAGTTTCCCTAGCCCTTTCCACCCAGTGAGGAGACAACAGGAAGCCTGTGACCTAGAAGACAGCCCTCACCTGACTGTGCTGGCACCCTGATCTTGGACTTCCAGACTCCAGAACTATGAGAAATAAATGTCTGTTGTTTAGAAACCACCCATTCTGGGATATTGTTGTAACAGACCAAACGAACTAAGACACTACCTCATTATTTCCATATTGTCTGTCTCACCCCACTAGAATTAGTAACATCCATGAAAACAGGAATCCTCATCAATTTTGTAACACCACTGCCTATTCCAGAACCCGCCATACTGACAATTTCACTGACAAATTTATTAACGACCTTCACATTCTAGCCCTATCTATGTGCTACCTGTTGTAATATTTAGCATTTAATACTCTTCTTTAGATCATCTCTCTTTTTAACTTAAATACACTTATTTAAATGAAAGTTTATATCAACCTTAAAAACAGAAACCACAGTCATTTGCAAAAAAGAAAAAAGGCCCCGAAGATAATACAGCAATAGATCCAACCAAAATTAATGTTATTGAGTGCTACCTAGTTTTGGTCGCCTGTCTAAGACTCGGGGCCTGAGGTCTGCTCTCTCTTTACTAAAATGGAAGGCCAACAAAAGGTATTACCTAAAATAACCTTCTCTATAATCCACTGTACTCATTCCACACTTGGGAAGACAATGTCCTGGGTGATATGCAAAATCTCCATTAACCCAAAACCTTCGGGGATACAAGAAGCCAAGGCCTCACAAGAAGACAGAAATGCCTCCAGGTTACTGCATGAGGGCTAAAAAGGTAAAACTGACTTATTCCCTCTATTTTAAGTCATAAATGTGGTAACTGAGGGAAGAGTTATATTGCAAAAGGCACTCCTTTTTGCCTTCTTTGTAACCAACAGAAGTCACAGTTCAAATTACACACCCTTCTTTTTAATATTTATTTGAGAGAGAGAGAGAGAGTGCGCATGCATGAGCAGGAGGGGCAGAGGGAGAAGGAGAGAGAATCTCAAGCAGACTCCATGCTGAGTACAGATCCCAGGACCCTGAGATCACGACCTGAGCCAAAACTAGAGTCCGACCCTTAACCGACTGTACCACCCAGGCATCCCTCAAATTACACACTCTTGTAAGGTAAGGCACTTCCATCTCCTCACATAGGTCTCTGACTTGACAAGGACAAGAGCATCAGCTTACTGCCATTGGAATGGTGTTTGGTTTGACTGTGTGTTTCAGGAGACCTCAGGCCCCCCAAAAGCCACTGAAATGAAGACCCTGGCACTGGTACTAAAATTTTTTAGCTTGTGGGGAGAGGTAAACAACCTTGCCTCTGGATATGAAGAGAGACTGGCAATCCCTTACTCTTAAACTTTAAGTCTAGTAGAAGCCTTTGGAGCTCCTGAAATTTTCATCAATTCTTCACATTCAAAAAACCTCACTGCGAGCCTTCTACTGTGCCAAGACCTGATGAAACCCACCCCCATCCAACAGTACAGTCATTTAATTTAAGGGAGCAGATTCTGGAGCTGATCCACTAAGGGTCAAATCTCAACCTGCCACTTTGTAGCCATGTGGTTTTAGATAATTTAACTTTCCCATGGCTCTGTTTCCTCATCTGTAAAGTGGCAATAATAATAAAAATAACAGGAAATACACCTCTCCCTCACAGGACTAGTGTAAGGATTAAAGGAATTAAGACATGTACAGTGCTTAGACTAATGCCTGATACATATTAAGTACTCAATGTTGGCCCTATTAGGAGTAAGAGTGAATTTGATATTAAAATACTGTCTTTGAGGAGCACCTGGGTGGCTCAGATGGTTAAGCGTCTGCCTTCGGCTCAGGTCATGATCCCAGGGTCCTGGGATCGAGCCCCGCATCGGGCTCCCTGCTCCGCGGGGAGCCTGCTTCTCCATCTGCCTCTCTCTCTCTGTGACTCTCATGAATAAATAAATAAAACATTTAAAAATAATAATAATAAAATAAAATACTGTCTTTGATCTGAGTTGAAATTCACTGACATGGTGAACCACTATTACTGATGTTCCTGATGTGAGGACAGAAAAGAGTTGAGAACCACTGCCCTAGTGGGCAGAAACCAAGTTCCAAGGAGAAGGCAGCTTTACCTAAGGAGACCAGGTTCCTGTAATTCTCCAGCATCACCTCCCGGTAGAGGTTCCTCTGAGCAGCACTAAGGTAGGTTAATTCCTCCGGAGTGAAGTCCACAACCACATCCTTGAAAGTCACCAACTCCTAAAATACCAAAAACACTTCCAAATGGTCAAAATCCAGAAATTATCCCAAAGAGGGGAAAGGCGCCTGATGAGAGAGGACTGAACATAAAGCATTCAGACTGGCAGAAAGCTTTTTTTTTTTTTCAAAGATTTTATTTATTTGACAGAGAGAAAACACAGCGGGGGAGGGGCAGAGGGAGAAACAGGCTCCCTGCCGAGCAGGTAGCCCGATGCTGGGCTTAATCCTAGGACCCTGGGATCACGACCTGAGCCGAAGGCAGACGTTTGACTGACTGAGCCACCCAGGCGCCCCTGGCAGAAAGCTTCTAATCCAAGTGTTCTAATCCAGAGGGTACAGGGACCTAGTAATGTACCTTTCTTTGTCTTGTAGTATGAAAGAAGGGGGAATATGTCTGAGATAGTGCCTGTTGCTAATTACTACAAATTTGGATTGAAGGCAAAAGATACTTTTAAGGGATTCCCTAGGTGGCTCAGTCCGTTAAGCGTCTACCTTTGGCTCAGGTTGTGAACCCAGGGTCCTGGGGTCGAGACCCGCATGGGGCCCTTGCTCAGCAGGGAGCCTCCTTCTCCCTCTGCCTGCTGCTCTCCCTGCTTGTGCACTCACACTCTCTCTCTCTCTGACAAATAAATAAAATCTTTTTAAAAAAAGATCCTTTTAAGCTACTTTATAAATAATGAATGTGCATAATTAAAAGCTAAGCAGTATACCTCAGCCTCAGGAATCAGAGAGAGCTAGGTTTAAGTCCTGGCTCTGGTTCTTACAATCTTTGTGAATGTGGGTAGGTTAAGCCTCAGTGACTCATCTGTAAAACCCAAAGAGCTCATAAAGAGATATTCAATCTTATTAATAAACAGAGAAATGCAAATCAAAATGACACCGTACCATTTATACTCATTCAACTGACAAAAATTAATAAGTCTGGCAATACCAAATGTTGTCTAGAATGTGGACTCATGAGACCTCTTATTAGATGCTAGGGGAAATGTAAATTGGTAAACCACTTTGGACCCAGAGATTATATTCCTAGGTATATCTGATCATGTTTACTTGGAGACACTTATATTCTTTTTTTTTAGCGAGTGAGTGAGAGAGAGAGAGAGAGAAAGCGTGCACAAATGCATGAAATAGGAGGAGGGGCAGAGGGACAGGGTGAGAGAATCTTAAGCAGGCTCCACATCCAGCGTGGAGGCTGACATGGGGCTTGATCTCACAACCCCAAGATCATGACCTGAGCTGAAATCAAGAGTCAGATGCTTAACTGGCTACGCCAGCCAGGCGCCCCCTGACATTTATATTCTTAACAGTGCTGTTTGTAACATCCAAAACCTAGAAACAATCCACATGTCTGTTTAGAGTAAAAGAGATAAATATATTACAGTAATAGTCACACAATGGAATAATATTCCAGCAATGCAAACCAATTAACTACAGTTACAACAGTCTTGATAACCTAAGGTTGAATCAATTAATTAATTTAAAGATTTATTTGAGAGAGAGAGCAGGCGAGTGCATGTGTGTGCACATGTGCCTGGTGGGGGAGGGGCAGAAAGAAACCTAAGCAGACTCCACACTGAGTGCAGAGCCCAACATAGGACTTAACCCCACAACCCCCAGATCATGACCCGAGCCAAAACCAGCAGTCGGGACACTCAACCGACTGTGCTACCCAGGTACCCCTAAGGTTGAATTTAAAAAGTAGATTTTGGGGCACCTGGGTGGCTCAGTCGGTTAAGCGTCTGCCTTCGGCTCAGGTCATGATCCCGGGGTCCTGGGATCGAGCCCCCACATCGGGCTCCTGGCTCAGCAGGGAGCCTGCTTCTCCCTCTCCCTCTGCCTCTCTCCCTGCTCATGCTCTCTCTCTCTCTCTGTATCTCTGTGTCTCAAATGAATAAATAAATAAAATAAATAAAATAAAAAGTAGATATTAGAAGACTACATAAGAATATGATACACATTTTATTAATATACATCTTTTGTGTTTTCAGGAAAACATTATGCAGATCTATGAGCAACTGATTTAAAGTAGAAGTCATACACTGGCTGCCCAGCTCCTACCAAGGAGGTTATTTGGTTTTTATTATAGGTTTTTTATTATTTTATTCAAAATTCATATTAACTGCCAACACTAAAAAATTTATAGATTTAGTACTATTAACTGGAGTTTTAAAATCAGAAATCAGGGCGCCTGGGTGGCTCAGTTGGTTAAAATCAGAAATCAGGCTCCATGGAGTCTGCTCAGGATTCTCTCTCCCTCTTTCTCTGCCCTTCCCCGCCTAAAGCAAATAAATAAATTTTTAAAGAAATGATTTAACAAGAACATTAAGGAGAACATTTTTTTTTTTAAAGATTTTATTTATTCATTTGAGACACAGAGATAGAGAGAGAGAGAGCATGAGCAGTGGGAGAGGCAGAGGGAGAGGAAGAAGCAGACTCCCCGCTGAGTCAGGAGCCCGATGTGGGACTCGATCCCAGGACCCTGGGATCATGACCTGAGCCGAAGGCAGACGCTTAACCATCTGAGCCACCCAGGCGCCCCAGGAGAACATTTTTGAAAAAAAAAAAATAAAACCTCACAACAGTATCATGTCCCTATAATAGCTGCCATTTATTTCACACATAAAAAGGAGCATAACAGTGCAAACCACATAAGAGTTGTTTTAAATGAGCCAACACTGGGCATAAAATGGAATACTAAAAAAACAAGCAAAACAATTAATTCAAGAGATAGAAAAAGCAGAAAAATGGGGGTGCCTGGGTGGCTCAGTCGTTAAGCATCTGCCTTCGGCTCAGGTCATGATCCCAGGGTCCTGGGATCGAGCCCCGCATCGGGCTCCCTCCACCGCGGGAAGCCTGCTTCTCTCTCTCCCACTCCCCCTGCTTGTGTTCTCTCTCTCGCTGTGTCTCTCTCTGCCAAATAAATAAATAAAATCTTTAAAAAAAAAAAAAGAAAAAGCAGAAAAATGTTAAACGTGTAGTATGTGGGATGGTGATTAGTCCAACAGAGAAAAATAAAGCAGGGAAAAAAATAAAGCAGGGAAAGAAGATATAAAGAGTCAGAAAAAATTTTTTTTAAGATTTTATTTATTTGAGAGAGAGAGCATACACATGACCCTCTCAGGGGAGGAGGGGAGGGAGAGGGACAAGCAGACTCTGCACTGAGCATGGAGCCTGAGGTGGGGCTCAATCCCACAACCCTGAGATCATGACCTGAGCTGAAACTAAGAGTCTGTAGCTCAACTGATTGAGCCACCCAGGCCCCCCAAGTCAGAAAAAAAATTTAAATAAGATAGCCAGGGAAAGGCTCAGTTAGGTGATATTTATATAAAGACTTAAAGGAAATGAGAATGTGATTTAATTCGATAGGGAAGGTCTAGAAATCAGGAGGGTGAGATACCCATATTGGAGAACAAAATCAGAAGAAAGCTTCACGTACCTGGGATCCAGCAGATGAGGGATTGTCAGACATCTCTGTGTCCTTTTGGAGTTCGTCGGTGTTCCTCTCTTCTGCAATGACAAAGTCCTGAGGAGGGAAACCTAGAAGAGAGAAGGAATGACCATGGAACTGAGTCCAGTCTGGCAGTACCCAGAGACACAGAGAGTGCTTGCCACCCAATACCATCCTTCCTGCCATGGAAGACAGCAGCAGTCCTGGACTTCCTATAAGAGAAACACCATAGACATCTTTTCTCCTTTCAGTATAGCAAGTTCCAAAAAAGAGCTCTGGGCATTTCCCAGCTTTAAACCCTTCAATGACTCCCTACTGCCTTCCAAATAAAGTGGAAATTCCTTCTTTATCAGTGGTTCCCAACCTCACCGTCCACTCATAAGCACCAGGGAACCTCAGTTTCTCAACTGTAAAATGGAAATAATACTTATACTTCTAAGTGATCTTGTAAGGCTTAAACATTACATATATAAAGGACACAAGCATTTTAAAAAGTGGCAGCTCTTAAAGATTTTCCTAAATCTTTTTCATTCACCGATCTAGAAGACGGCCACATTCCCTACAGTAACCAGAACCTTGAAGGCCTTCCCTGCCTGTAGTCTCTTTCCAAGTGCACCCTTTATTCATCTGTTGTTTCTTTCTCATATCCTAGGTAGCTTTCTTTTCCCCTGAATTCCAGCTCCATCAATAGCTCTGGGCCTTTGGCCAAGTTTTTATTTATTTTTATTTATTTTTTTAAAGATTTTATTTATTTATTTGACAGAGAGAGACACAGCGAGAGAGGGAACACAAGCAGGGGGAGTGGGAGAGGGAGAAGCAGGCTTCCCGTGGAGCAGGGAGCCCGATACGGGGCTCGATCCCAGCACTCTGGGACCATGACCGAAGGCAGACACTTAAAGACTAAGCCACCTAGGTGCCCCTGGCCAAGTTTTTAACCTCTGGGACAATACCCTCCTTGTCCACCTGAGGCACTATAACACCATGATTAGAGTACAGATGCTGGAGCGAGCTGCCCAGGTCTGAACCCTGACGAATTGTGGGGTCATGGGCAAGTTACTCAACCTCTACATGCCTCTGTCTCCTCATCTATAGAATAAGGGTAACACCTGTTTCAAAAGCTATTAAGAGAACTATATAAATTCGTATATATAAAACACCTAGAATATAGTACCTTGAAAGTATTCAACATGGGACGCCTGGGTGGCTGTCAGTTAAGCATCCGCCTTCGGCTCAGGTCACGATCCCAGGGTCCTGGGATCGAGTCCTGCATCGGGCTCCTTGCTCACCAGGGACCCTGTTTCTCCCTCTCCCTCTGCCTACTGCTCCCCCCTGCTGTGCTCTCTCTGCATCAAATAAATAAATAAAATCTTTTAAAAAAAAGTATTCAACATGTTTACTATTATCATCTTCAAAATCCTTTTAAGAAATGCAGGTACAGGGGCGCCGGGTGGCTCAGATGATTAAGCATCTGCCTTCGGCTCAGGTCATGATCCCAGGGTCCTGGGATCGAGCCCCGCATCGGGCTCCTGGCTCAGCGGGGAGTCTGCTTCTCCCTCTCCCTCTGCTTCTCCCATTGCTCATGCTCTCTCTCTATATATATTTCTGTGTCTCAAATGAATAAATGAAATCTTTAAAAAAAATGCAGGTACACATAACTGGATTAATCATAATCCTTAATTCATGGAATCAGTATTAAACCATGCATGACCTTGTTTACTTTAAATTTATTCATTTACATGCTTAAGTATAATTAATGCCTGTGAATTCACTACCTAACCCCCAATCTAGAACATTCCCAGTAACTTATATCTACCCGTGTGCTTTTTCCTGTCCACCCCCAGCCTTCTCTCCAGAGGTAACTGTGGTCTTATGTTCATACTTTTTTTTCCCTTGCCTGCCTCTCTCTGTCTACCTCCCTCTCTCTCTCTCTCTATATATATATATGTATATAAATACCCCTAAACAATACTTTGTTTTTAGTATCACTTTTATTCAAAGGACAATGAGGAGTAAATGGCTTTCTTCTTTCATTATTAAAATATCCTTAGTTCCAATCTAGTAACTTGAGTTTCCAACAGACCAAATTTTGGTAAAGGTTAAACTTCCAGGCCTCGTAGCTCCCCCATTTTATAACCTCCTGTGTGTTGTCTTGTTTTGTGTTGATACTCAAGTTTAGGTGAGATAAGAAATGGAGCAGGAAAGAACAAAGCTGGAGAGAAGGGGTACTCTCAGAGAAATAGTAAATATTAAAAGCAAAAGCCAAACCCAAAATTTCGTCCATCTCATATGAGGCAGATTAGACTGGATTATAAAATTTATTCTTTCACTTATTCATTTGACATCTCCTATGCATGCCAGGCATACAGAGGATGTTCAGTAAATGGAAATGACTAGTGGCTTCCTTTCTCTCTCACCTTTCTCCTCACATGCTTGGATCAAACTGGCCACCAGGGTTCCTGCCTCCTTGCTGTTCTTAGGCTTTTTTGACCTCACCCAGGTCCGAACCTCCTCTGGTAGGGTGTTCAGAAACTGTTCCAGCACCAGTTGCTCCATCATCTGCTCCTTGGTGTGGGTCTCCGGCTGCAGCCATTGCCAGCAGAGCTCCTGGATTTGGCTCACAGCTTGGTGTGGCCCGGTCACTGAAAGATATTGAAAATCCCTAAACTTCTGATGAGAAACTTTCAGAGCCCCTGGATTTCTTATGCGGATGGTTTCTGGATTCTCTTCTTGATCATGTAGACGGAAGAGCTGGGGATTCTTCAAGATATCCAAAAAATCTGTCATGTGCAGCATCTTTACAGCTTGGCCCTTCACAGGATGGAGATACTTTAAAAGGCAGCCTGCTTCAGAACATACTTTGTGGAAGATGGTAGGCAGAGTTGTATCGTATGAAAAAAAGACACAGAAACCCAGGACCTGTAGAAATTATGTAGAGAGACTTACAAATGGCCTGCACAGTTAGCACTGGACAATGGGGTGGAGGAGATTTGAAGCAAAAGCAGTTACTTCATTTCACACAAATGCCTAAATACACAAACAGAAATTTGCACATCTCCAGGTAAGATGCTACTTTAGCCCCATCCCCAGATCTGGAAAATGCACAGGCACAGGCTTGAAATATTTCAGAAATGGCACTGAAGGGAAAAGAGACTTGAACCCCAAACACAAAGAACTGAATTAATTTGATGAACCACAGGAGAATTTCACTTCAAAAAATAAATGAGTTAAGGTGACTTTATACTATACAGAATAAGGAAAGAGTCTTATAACACATACGTCATACAAAGGACTAGCTTCTTAGGCAAAATATTTAAAGAACTCACACAAATCAGTAAGAAAAAGGGATATAAGCAACAGCAAAAAATTTAAAAGATTTGAGCCGGTATTGCACAAAACAGAGCTAAATGGCCAAGAGACATGAAATGGGGCTCAACTGCATTAGTTATCAGAGAAATAGGAATTAAAACCGTAATGAGCTATCACGACACACCTTCCAGAACATTCTAACTGAAAAGAATCAGACAGTAGTGTTTGAGAGGAGAAAGAACCATGGTAGAATAGTACATTCATACAAGGCTTCCACTAATTTCCTCTTCCCATCTCAATATATAAGATTACACAGCCATCTTGCAAGTCAATAGGGCCAGCTTCATGGGCATGCAACCAGTGCAGTCATACAAGGCTCCATGCTCAGAAAGGCCTCAAGCTTAGTTTAATGCTCTGCTGTTGCTATCTTGAGATTTTTCATATTTTAATTTTTTTTTAAAGATTTTTATTTATTTGACAGAGAGAGAGAGAGCGAGAGCAGGAACACAAGCAGGGGGAGTGGGAGAGGGAGAAGCAGGCTTCCCGCCGAGCAGGGAGCCCGATGTGGGGCTCGATCCCAGGACCCTGGGATCACGACCTGAGCCGAAGGCAGACGCTTAACGACTGAGCCACCCAGGCACCCGAGTCATATTTTAAACAAAGGGCTTCATATTTCATTTTGCATTAGGCCCTGCAAATTATGTAACTGGTCTACCCAGCAAGAATATTATCATTTCTCAAAATTTGTTGCCAATTAAACAGATGAAAAATATATTTTTTATTCTTTAATTCTGCATTTCCTTAAATTAATAATAAAGCTTCCTTTTTTTTCCCCCCAGACTTATTGGCCCTTTATAAATTGCACCTATCCTTTGTCTTCTTTCTGTCGCTGATTGGTAAAGACTATATACAAATGAAGGATATTCCTTGTCCTACTTGATTAAAAAAAATTCTAGCCACCTGCTCTTTAGTCTTTGTAGAATTTTAGTATATTAATGTGCAATCTATCACTGTCCACCCAGAAATAAGTTAAATATGCAATTACATTTTATTATTGCTTTATTTAAACATTTCCTTTCATCCTGGGTGGGCAGAGGTGATGGTGGGAGGAGGAAGCAGGGGCTGAAGGGGACAATGGGAAGAGCGGTGCCAAGGCAAGAGAAACGGAGCAGAACAAGGTAAGGCAAAGAGCGGGGGCAGAGCTCAAGGGCGAATGGGGCAAGATAAAGAGGAAGCGCCGATCGGAGGGGCCGGGGCAGGGAGGAGAGACTGCCAGCAGGGGTGGAACTGAGGCAGTGGGGAGGACCGAGGGAGGAGGGGCGGGACAGAGGCGGGGCCCGGGGGCCGGCGAGGGGAGAAGGAAGTCGGAGCAGGGGCCTTGGTGGGCGGGGCTGAGGGTGGGGCCTGGGGGCGGGGCTTAAGCTCAGGGCGGGACCCGGGATAGCGGTGGGTCTGGGGCGCGAGGGGCGGGGCCTGGGGCCGACGCCGGGTAGGGATGCGGCTTAGGGGGGCTGGGGGTGTCGGAGGATCCGGGGCCAGGAGGGGCGGGGCCTGGCGTGGGGGCGGGGCCGAGACCAGCGGCCCAGGGAGGACGTTGGCCTGAGGCCGAGCACAGGCCACGGAGGCCGAGGAGTTGAGGCACACAAGGGCGCGGCGAGGGCGGGGAGGCCACTCCCGCGCACCGGTGATCCTCGGCTCCCGGGTGTCCGCGGGCCCCACGCCCGACCCGGGCCCCTTCTCTACAGGGGCCACTACCCCCGTCGTCTCCTCACGCGGAGGCGCCTCCCCAGCCCCCACCCCCGCACAGCTACTGGGCTGCCGCGCGTCGCAGCCCCGAGCCCGCCGTGGCGTCGCCCCTCAGGGAGGCCCGCGCCGCCGCCCTGGGCTTCTCGCGCGCTCAGGCGTGCCGCCCCTCGCCCTCGCGTCTCTTCCGACCGCGTTCGGCCACGGAATGCCCGCGCGCCACTCACACGCGCGCCACTCACACGCTCGCCCCCACGCCCGCGCGCACAGCGCGCGCTCACCTCGCCCGCCGAGCGCCTCGCCGGCCTGAACGGCTCCCGCTCGGACTTGGCGCCCGAGCGACGGCGCATGTGCAATGCCGCGTCTGCGCGTGCGCTCTGCGGAGCCGCTGGAGCCCGCGTGTCGAAGTCCGGGCCGCTCCTCGCTGGTTCCACTGGGGGCGCTCGAGGCCGCGGCTGCACGGGGAGGGGGGCAGAGAGGGAAGGAGGGACTGGTGCCAGGGTGGTCTTCCTCCCTAAAATGCTCTCGTTCACTGTTTGAATAGTTAATATATGGTTTACATGTTCTTAAGTAAATAAATAGTATGCAGTGAAAAGTCTTCCCCCCACAGCGTGTGCACCACCCACCAATTTTCTATGCCCATAAACCACATGGTAACCACTGCAGTTAGTTTGTGTCCTTCCACGGCTTCTTCATGCTTGTACGTGTGTATGTACATATATAGCACACATACACGCATGCATAGTATACACACATATGTGTGATTATTATTGATGTGTTTTATACATATTTGTCCCCATACATGCGTATATATCTCCGATATAAACGAATTTTTAAATATAAAATTAGTATTTTTATAAATACATAAAAATTAAATATAATGCAATATTTACACGTGCAATATGATATGTAATGGAAATATATAATTATATATTGTTATAATACATAGTTTCGCTATTGTACATAATTATGTATTTGTATAAATATAAGACATAATTTTAGGTCTGTGTAAATATTCATATTCTCATGTGCTCCCATTTTTAGACAAAAGGTGGCACACTTTTCACACTGTTCCATGCCCTGGTTTCTTTTTACTTACCGGTATATCTTGGAGAAATTTCCATATCAGTACAAAGAGAGTTTGCTCAGTTGTTTTTTTTTAATTTACTTTTTAAATTATTTATTTATTTAATAAATAAATAAATTATTTATTTATTTTAAATTAAATTAAATTTTTTATTTTAATTTTATTATTTATTTTAAAGATTTTATTTATTTGACAGAGACACAGAGAGAGAGGGAACACAAGCAGGGGGAGTGGGAGAGGGAGAAGCAGGCTTCCCGCTGAGCAGGGAGCCCAATGCGGGGCTCGATCCCAGGACCCTGGGATCATGACCTGAGCCGAAGGCAGACGCTTAACGACTGAGCCACCCAGGCGCCCTATTTACTTTTTTTAATACTTTAATAGTAATCTCTATGCCCAGTATGGGGCCTGAACTCATGAGCCTGAAGTCGAGTTCCACGCTCTACTGATGGAGCTAGCCAAGTGCCCCTCCGTACAGAATTTTTAAAATCTAGTCACATAATTCACTCCTTTTAAGTACTCTTAATTTTGTTTTTTTTTTTTAACTCAGAAGGCAAAGGTATACTACACGATTAAAGGAAAAACCATGCTTTCTTATTGTACTTTCTAAATTTAATTCAGAGTCTATTTCTGGACTTCCCTTTATCTGTTCTATTCATTGAGTAAGCTAGTCAGGTGCTATTATCAACATTTTACTCTTTTTGTAACATTTTAACATCTGGTAGGTCTAGTTACCCGGTATGATTCTACTTTTTCACAATATTATGGTTATTCTTATTTTTCTATATGAATGTTACGATCAACTTGTGTAGTTACAAAAACAATCCTGTTATTTTTATTGGAATTTTTATAAACTTACATTTTTCTTTAGGAGATTTATCTTTGGGGCACCTGGGTGGCCCAGCTGCCAAGCATCTGCCTTCAGCTCGGGCCATGATCCTGGGGTCCTGGGATCGAGCCACGCATCGGGCTCCCTGCTCTGCGGGAAGCCTGCTTCTCCCTCTTCCACTCCCCCTGCCCGTGCCCCCTCCCCCCCACTGTCTCACCGTCAAACAAACAAATAAAATCTTAAAAAAAAAAGAAAAAGATTTATCTTTATGTTGAAATTTCTTAGACATGGTATGATTTACCATTTAAGGTCTCATTTGTGTCTGTCAGTATTTTAATGTTTTCCTCATCTGTAACTTCTGTACATCTATCTAATTATTCCCATATTTATTTTCCTTCCAACTTATCTTCAAACCTATTACTTGTTACTTCAATGAACCACTTTCAATGGACACCCATAGACATATTTCCAAGTAAACTTACCATCTATGAGTGATTTTTACTTTTTTTCTAATTACGTTTGATCGTAACCTTGAAAAAAGCTCTTTTTTTTTTTTTTTTAAATAGGATCATTTCTAGGGTTTCCTCATTAAGCATCACACAGCCTTTTGGAGTAAGACATTTAACAGGTTAGGAATGTTGACCCTCAGCAGTTTTAGCAAATGCTGTTTTAGCATGTAGGGAGATTATTCTCTTTTCTTTTTTTAAAAGATCTCATCCATTCACTTGATAGGGAGAGAGACAGCGAGAGAGGGAACACAAGCCGGGGAGGGGGGGGAGAGGGAGAAGCAGGCCCCCCGCCGAGCAGGGAGCCCAATGCAGGGCTAGATCCCAGGACCCTGGGGTCATGACCCGAGCTGAAGGCAGAGGCTTAACAACTGAGCCACCCAGGCGCCCCTAGGGAGATTATTCTTGATATATTGTTGAAATAATCTCAGAATGATTTTTCTGTGTTGTATTATTATGTAACTGTTTATTATATGTATCTATAACATCTTTATGTCCCTAATTTAGCAGTTGTACTACTGTATATGTAAACTAAAACGGGAACCCTACTCTACTCCATCCTTTAATAAAGTAA